GGATTGGGCCTAAACCGGCAGTCGGACATCCCCCGAAGGGTCCTGGATTGGAGAGGGTGCAGGCTGTGCTGAGGGGACCCCCCCGCCCCCCGTGCATGAATTTCATGCACCAGGCCCCTAGTCCTATATAATCCTATATAATAAAAGCCTAATATGCTAAGGGTCTGGTGTACAGGTTGGCTGTTCAACCAATCAAAGTGTAATATGCTAATGATTTGCTAAGGCCACTCCACTGCTTCTATGATGTACACTGACCACCAGGGGGCAGACAGTTGACTGGTTGACCACTCCCTATGATGTGCACTGACCACCAGGGGGCAGACGCTCCGACCGGTAGGTTAGCTTGCTGCTGGGGTCCGGCCAATCGGGACTGAGTGAGACAAGCCAGACACACCCTGGAGCGCTCCCACGGTCCCTCGCTGGCTGGCCAACCTCCTGTGTCACTCCCAGCCCCGATCATGCACCAGTGGAGTCCCTCGGCCTTGCCTGCGCCCTCTTGCAATCCAGGACCTCTTGGGGGATGTTGGAGAGCCAGTTTTGGCCTAATCCCACAGGCCAGGCCAAGCGACCCCACTGGTGCACAAATTTGTAAACCGGGCCTCTAGTTTGTATTATAAAGTAACTATCTAAAATGTAAAAGTGCCAAACAACTCATTTGTTACTGGACTTTAGCTTGAATTGCCTTGCTTATATAAGAAGTATCTAAATGTAATACATACTAAGTTTTTATTATTTATTTTTTTAAAAAATATATTTTTTATTGATTTTAACGAGGACGGGAGATGGAGAGAGAGATAGAAACATCAATGATGACAGAGAATTATTGATTGGCTGCCTCCTGCACACCACCCACTGGTGATTGAGCCCACAACCCGGGCACATGCCCTTACCGGGAATCGAACCGTGACCTCTTGGTTCATAGGTTGATGCTCAGCCACTCGGCCATACTGGCCAGACCATACTAAATTTTAAACAAGTTTTTGAAGGGTGAATATATTTAAAACCTTAGTAAACCTTTCTGTGTATTTATGAATTTTCTTTTAATTTTTTAATAGCAGTTGTCCAAAATATTTTAAGTTGGAGTTAGAACATTTCATAGTGCTCACCGAGTAATTCTTCTTCTGCCTAGCGCTGGTGTTTTAACTGTCCTATATTTCCCCACAATATCTCTATGTGATGGTTCTATTCACAATCACAAAATTCCCAAATCTCTCTGTAGTCCAGGCTTCCTTGCCTTTGGAATAGACATGATATCAAACTATTAAAATATATTTTAAAACTTTTGAAAACATGAAGTTCTCACCAAATCAATGACTTATCTGTCTTAGATGAATGAGCTAGTTTGTCACCTCCTTCCTGTGAATAACTAATATTTATTGCCTGGGCTATTGAAGTAGCTTTTAGTGTGTGTGTGTCTGTGTGTGTGTGTGTGTGTGTGTGTGTGTGTGTGTGTGTGTGTGTATGTGTGTGTGAATGTCACAAGGAATAGAGAATTAACTTTTTGCTATAAAGTAATCCAATAATACAGATAGGCAAAAAGTTCTTCATCTTTACCTACTCCCACTTCTCTCTTATTTTAATGATCATCCTGTGGTCTTTGAGACCCTTTTATTTTTTTAAATGCTGAAATGCCTTTCTAATTTGTCTCCTGCTTTTTCCCATGACTCCTCTTCAATCTCTTCAAATAATGCTTGCCAATTATCTTAGAATTATTTTCTTGCTTTGTTTTGGACTGATTAAGGTTCTCTTTCCTTCATTTTATTTTTCTCCTCCATTAATTAGAAGTTATATACTAAATTCTTTGTACTTGCACTGGTTAACAGAAGACTAAAGTTAATATCTGTAGGCCTCACAAATATTATAAGAAGCTTAGAATGCTCTAACTTCTATTATCATCATTCTCTTTTACTGATTTATAATATTGTTGTCCAGGATTTTACATCTACACTTTTCTTTAAATCACAAATTAGACATTGTATTTATTGCTTTATAAGTCAGTGCTCTTCATCTAGGCTCATTCTGATACCTTCTTCCTTTAAAATTCCTTTAGTGAAGGTAATTTTGTTAGCCTGAAAAATCTTTATTTCATCTTCATTCTATAGAGTTTTTCTTGATATAGAATCTGGCAGAACGTTATTTTCTTTTAGTATTTTGAAGGTATTTTGCTGTTGAAAAGTTGGTAATCACTCTAATTGTCTTTGTGGGTAATCTGTCTTTTCTCACCGATGGCTTTGATGTCTTATCTTTGGTGCTATACTCATTGTTTCACTGTGATGGTATGAATGTGGTTTTCTGTTACTTTATTTTAGAATTCTTGGTTTTTAAAAAATCTGGCGGCCCTAGGTAGTTTGGCTCAGTGATAGAGCATTGGACTGCAGACTGGAAGGTCCTGGGTTCGATTCTGGTCAAGGGCACATGCTCGGGTTGTGGCCTCTATCCCCAGTGGGGGGTGTGCAGGAGGCAGCCTATCAATAATACTCTCTCATCATTGATGTTTCTGCCTCTCTCTCCCTCTCCCTTCCTCTCTGAAATTACTAAAAATTAAAAAAAAAAACCTGGCGGATTGGTGTTTTTCATCAGTTCTGGAGAATTCTCAACCGTATCTATTCTAATAATGCTTCTTCCCAGTTCTCTTAGATGACAGATGTTTATTGAATCTTCTCACTGTAAACTCCAAGTCTCATAACCTTTCCTAGCTTCCATCTTTAACTCTTTGTGCTTCATTTTGGTATATATCAGCATTCTGCATTCAGAATATATCTTCCAGTTCCCTTTTGCACATGTGTTTCATATGTTGTTACCCTTTTTAGTTCTTGTATTTTTCATATTAGAAATTAAATTTTTATTATAAAATTGCCTGGCCATATTTTTATCATCAGTTTCGATAACCTATGGATCCCCTTTTATGCTCTCAATTTCCTATTTTGTTTCTTTAAATATGGTGGAACATAGTTATTTTATATTCTGTATTTGGTAATTTAAATATTTATTTCTATGCCATTACCATATAATCTTATCAGAGATTATAATTTTGATAATTGGTAAAGTGACTAACGCCACTACATCTTATTCCTTTTAAAAATTGCTAGCTATTTTTAATTCTTTGCACTTCCATGTGAATCTTAGAATCAGCATATCCAAGTCCATAAAAAACTAGTAGAATTTTTATTTGAATTATAGTGAATTTATCAAATACTGTGTGAGAAATTGAAATCTTTATAATAGCCTTCTTTTTCATTAAACAAACATACAAATTCTGGTTAAGTTTTCTTTGTATTTTATTAAAGTTTTATAATTTCCCTTCTAAAGATCTCATGCATCTTCTATTTGATTTATTCCTAAAGTGCTTGTATTTTTTTGTTGCTATTATAAATGATATCTTTATTTTTTTCCATTTTTTTAATGTATATAATTTTATTGATTTCAGAGAGAAGGGGAGAAGGAGAGAGAGATAGAAACATCCATGATGAGAATCATGATCAGCTTCCTCCTGCACGCCCCTTTTGGGATCGAGCCCACAACCCAGGCATGTGCCCTTGACTGGAATCAAATCCAGGACCTTTCAGTAAACAGGCTGATGCTCTATCCACTGAGCCAAACTGGCCAGGGCTCCATTTTTCTTTGTATTGCTCATGTATAAGAGTGTAATTACTAATTACTTTCTAATGCAAATCTGATGAATATAAACCTTTGCTTAAAATCTTCCTATGGTTTCCTCACCTTCTGCATACAAAGTTCAAACAGTAATGATCTGGCATGATTAGAACCATTTCTGACTTTCTACCGTGCCTTATCTTCTGTAACTTCATATTTTGAGACTTGTGCTTTAGTTATATGGAACCTGTTATAATTCTGTGGACAAACTCTGATTTTTGAAATAAGATGTTTATTGAGACATAATTTACGTATCTCAGAATTCAAATTTTTAAGTACAATTTAGTGATTTTTAGTAAATTTAGTATATTGGACTACCATTGCTATCTAAATCTAGAACATTTTTATCAACTCAAAAAGGAAGCCCTGTACTCATTAGCAGTCACTTCTCATTCCTCCCTTTCTGCCCCAATCATTTGTAGTCAGTAATCTAGTTCCTTTTCTTTATAGATATGTCTATTCTGGGCATTTCATATAAATGTAATCAGATGATATGTGGCCTCTGTGTTTTGTTTCTTTCACTTAGCATGTTTTCAAGTTTCATACATGTTTTAGCATGTATCTGTATGCCATTCATTTCTATGGTTGAATAATATTAAATTATATGGGTAGTGTCACATTTTGTTTATCCATTTACCAGTTGATGAACATATGGGTTGTTTCCACTTTTTGGCTATTATGAATAATGCTATTATGAACATTTGTGTACAAGTTTTTGTATGAATATTTTCAGTTTTTCTGGGTTTATTTTTAGGAATAGTATTCCTGGACCATATGGTAACTCCATGTTTAAGTTTTTGAGACCTGCCAAAGTTTTCCACAATGGCTGTACCATTTTATATTCTCACTGGCAATGTATGAGGGTTTCCAATTTTTCCACATCCCTGCCAACACATTGACTTTTTTTATTATAGCCATCTTCGTGGGTATGAAGAGGTTTTGATTCGGATTTCCATAGACTAATGTTGTTGAGCATCTTTTCATGTGCTTATTGGTCATTTGTATATCTCTTTGGAGAAATTTCTATTAAAATCTTTTGCCTTTTAGCCTGGCCAGCGTGGCTCAGTGGTTGAGTGTCGACCTATGAACTAGGAGGTCACGGTTCGATTCCCATTTGGGGCATATGCCCAGGTTCTGGGCTCGATCCCCAGTGTGGGGCATGCAGGAGGCAGCTGATTGACGATTCTCTCTCATCACTGATGTTTCTCTCTCTCTCCTTCTCCTTTCCTCTCATCAATAATAAATATATTGAAAAAATCTTTTGCCCTTTAAAAAATTGGATTAGTTTTCTGATTATGGTTCAATGGTAAGAGTTTTTTATAGAGTCTGGATACTAAATCTTTATCAGATATAGGATTTGTAAAAATCCTTTCCCAATCTTTGGGTTATTTCTTCACTTTTTAAATAGTGTTCTTTGAAGCACAAAAGTTTTAAATTTTTTAAAAAAATATATTTTATTGATTTTTTACAGAGAGGAAGGGAGAGAGAGAGTTAGAAACATCGATGAGAGAGAAACATCGATCAGCTGCCTCCTGCACATCTCCTACTGGGGATGTGCCCGCAACCCAGGTACATGCCCTTGACCGGAATCAAACCTGGGACCTTTCAGTCCGCAGGCCAAAGCTCTATCCACTGAGCCAAACCGGTTTCGGCCAAAAGTTTTAAATTTTGATGAATTACAATTTATTTTTTCTTTGTTTTTGGTATCATGTCTAAAAAAACTAATTCAAGGTCACAAAGATTTCCATCTTTGTTTTCCTCTAAGAGTTTTATAATTTTAACTAGAGGCCCGGTGAACGAAAATTTGTGCACTTGGGGTGGGGGTCCCTCAGCCTGGCCTGCACCCTCTGGCAAACCAGGAGCCCTCGGGGGATGTCTGACTGGTTCATTGATTTTAGGGAGAAGAAGGGAGAGGGAGAGAGCGACAGAAACATCAATGATGAGAGAGAATCATTGATGGGTTGCCTCCTGCAAGCCCCCTACTGGGGATTGATCCCACAACCTGGGCATGTGCCCTGACTGGGAATCAAACCCGGGACCTCGTGGTTCATAGATTGATGCTCAACCACTGAGTCACACAGCTGGGTGGGGGCTTTGCTTTTAAGTGTATATATGTTTATAATTATTATATGTTCATGATAGATTGTCCCTTTCATCATTATAAAATATCCTTTCTAGTCTTAAAATCTAATGTATCTGATATTAGTATAGCCTTTTCAGCTCTTTCTTTGGTTACTCTTTGTATGGTGTATATTTTACCATTCTTTCACTGTTTACCTATTTGTGTCTTTGAATTCTAAAGTTTCAAAACTAATTTCTGGCTCTTTATTGATATTTCTACTTGATGAGATATGATTTTTATATATTTCTTTCATTTTTTAAAAGTATTGCTTTATTTAGTTCTTTTGAATGTATTTGTCATGGATGATTTAAAGTTCTTGCCTGGTATGACCAACACCTGGGTTTCTGTAGAGACAGTTCTCTTGACTGTTTTTCCCTCTCTCTATAGTCCATAATTTCCTATTTCTTTTCATGGCTTATAATTTTTTGTTGAGAATTGGACAGTTTAAGTAATATAATGTGGCAACTCTGGAAATTACATTTCTCTATTCTCCAGGATTTGTTTAGTGACTCTCTTGGTCTGATTATGTAAAGTCTCAATTAAAAAATAATAATTATTTGCCACCAAAGTCTCTCTTCAGTTGGGTTAGTGGTCAGCTAATGATAGGTCAGATATTTTCTTGAACACCTAGAACCAATAAGTCTTTTAGCTTTTGCTGAGTGGCTTTCCATGTAATTGGCATGAGTTTCATGCTCTGATGCAGTTTACAACTCGTAGCCTTTACTTTTTTCTTGTGCAGAGCCTCAGTATCAGCCAGATGTGAGGGACTAGAGCTTTCTCAAATCTTTCCTGGTCACACATAATGCCCTGTACTTGTGTGTGGCCTTCTGGATTCCCAGGAATGTGTCAGTTTTTCAGAGTTCTCTATAGACTTTTTATTCCCAATTTTTCTATGTAAAGTCTTTTGTTCATTCTCTTATTATTTCCATTTGTTATCACTGCCTAAGACACTGCAGTGTTATACAATTGCTGCTGATTGTTTTCAGCAAACGGTCTGAGATAGTGCTTTTCACACTGTGAGTTCTGAGTCAGGTTAAATAAAAAGTCTGAGAATAGAGTTTTTCTTTTTTTATTTGTTTACTTACATATTTTTTATTGTTTAAAGTATTGCTTATGTCTTCTTTTCCCCCCATCGACCCTTCCCTAGCCACTCTCACCCCCCAGGACAAGCCCCCACTGCCCCAGTGTCCGTGGTCCGTGTCCACTGGTTATGCTAA